GGGGTTGCCTCTCTCTTGTTCCTCCTACTAACAGCCACCTTTTTATGATTACCCTCTCACTAGTCATACAATTTAATATCTCCATATTCTAACATTCTACCTCATAAACATCTCAGCCAACCACCCAGGCCCCCTTCTATCATTAGAAACTGTAAACCGTTATGCAAACCTATTGACTATAAGGTAGAAGATAACCAAACCCATCATTTCTAATTATAGTGACAAAACTGTAATGTAAAAATAGAAGCTAACCAATATATGGCTGCTCGTTGGGTACCTTGAGTGCTGTAATATTGATCTCTCCCTTAAAAGTGAGGTATTGGTAACCTATAGGCATACTATAAGACAACAGGGCAGAAGCTGTAATACCTCAAATCTATACTCAAGTGAGGAAGACTCATAGACATCATGAAAAAACAAGGGAGGAAAGTGCCCCAAACAAACCAAGACACTACAACAATAGAATCCATAGATAGTGCAGTAGGTGAAATGTCAGAGAAGGAGTTCAGAATATACATAACTAAAATGATTTGGGAATTGAAGAACGACCTAAGTGAGTAGATGCAGGCAAAAGTTGATCACTCCAACAAAGAGATAAGAGAACAAATTCAAGTTGCAGGAGATTACTTAAAGAAAGAGATAGAGATACTGAAAAAGAAAAAACAGAAATCCTCAAAATGAAAGAAACAATAAGCTAATTTAAAAAACTCCATAATTTATAGCATCACCAACAGACTAGATCACTTGGAAGTCAGGAACTTAGACAATGAAGACAAAACATACAATTTTGAAAATAAAGTTGACCTCACAGTGAAGATAGTAAGAAAACATGAACAAAATATCCAAGAATTATGAGATACCATTAAAAGACCAAATTTAAGATTGATTGGGATAGAGGAAGTTTCCAAGATTCAAACCAAAGGAATGCACAATCTCTTCAATGAAATAATAGCAGAAAATTTCCCAAGCATGAAGAATGAACTGGAAAATCAAATACAAGAGGCCTACAGGACACCAAATGTACAAAATTACAACAGTTCTACACCAAGACACTGTTAGAGTCTGTAAACAAGTCAGGATGGCGCCTGGCATTTTGCCAGAGGGAGTGGTTTGTGAAATAACACCAGCAAGCCATTAAGTGTGGAGATTCCTTATTGGTTGACTGCTGTATCTAGTTTATGTTAATTAAGATAAGCTGTATGGAATGTATATATACCCCTCCTGTCCTACAATAAACGGCTCCCACTCCTGCTGTATCAATGTACACAAGTTGTTTGTCACCCCCCGGTTATTTTGCTGTAGCCGGACTGCGGCAAGACACATTATAATGAAAACGCCTAGCCTACAGAATAAGGATAGAATTTTAAAGCCTGTAAGAGAGAAAAATCAGATTACCTATAAGGGAAGACCAATTTGTATCTCAGCAGATTTTTCAACCCAGACTCTCAAAGCCAGGAGAGCCTGGAACAACATATACCAAGCTATGAAAGAAAATGGATGCCAACCAACAATCTTATATCCAGCAAAATTAAACTTCAAATTTAATGATGAAATAAAAATCTACCATGATAAACAAAAGCTAAAAGAATTTACAGCAAGAAAGTCTGCACTACAGAACATTCTTGGCAAAATATTCCATGAGGAGGAAATAAAAAACAACAATGAAAATCTGCAAAGGGAAGAACTACAATAAGGGAAAAGCCAACCAAAGGAGAAACCAAGTCAAGCTAAATATAAAAAATTTTAAAAATGAGCTGTAATATGATTCATGTCTCTTAATAACTATAATATCATCTAATTTTTAAGCTTTTGTTTATTTCATATTATTTTGTTTTCCATTTCTCTTCACAAAGTTACACAAATATGTTCTTTAAAAGTTTTAGCATTTTATACATTATATTTTAACATATAATTAATTTGGTATGTGAATATACATTCCCTGTGATATGAGATGAGGTATATTTTACTCTCTTATAATTAAAAATCATTATTCAAGATTCAAGCATGAAAAAGCTTAATCAGAGTAAAAATTGTTTAATAAGGTATTTATAAAGGTAAGGGAGAGGTTGAGAGAAACTAACAAATTTTGTGAAGCACCTTTCCTTTTGTAAAATTGGAAAGGTGAGAGGTGAAATAAGAGAGAGCCATTATGAAAAACTTGTAGGAGAAGGTGACTTAACTGAAGTTATTCCCACCAAAAGCATGTAGAAAACAATTTACAGTCTAATAGAGTCTTATAGGGAGGAATAAAACTCCTTGCTCTACTCTTGTATATTTTAAGTACATCTCTTTGGTGTCCCTTTCTGATGGAACTCAACAAGAAATCACATAACAAGAGGACTTATCATGCAGCCTACAGCATATGTCTCACCAAAAGGTGAAAGATGAAGAAAGGAGCCAATATGGCAGTCATTGGTTACATGAGGCTACTGAGATTTGAAATGTGTCTAGTCTGAATTGAGGTGTGCTATGTGTTAAATACACATTAGATTCCAAAGACTTACTGGAACAAAGAAAATGAACATGAAATACTTTACTTATCTTACTAACAATTATTTTCTTTGCAAATTATGTTGGTAATCCATTAGTTTAAATGAAAATGTATTAAAATTAATTTCTCTATTTGCTTAAAAAAAGAAATAAAGGAGCACAAGCTAACATATTCTGTATCTTGACAGTAGTACTATATATCCATATATATGTTGTCATTTTTTATATTTGTGTTATCAAAATTCATATAACTATAAAACTAAACAGGATAAATTTACCATATATAAATTATATCTCAACAAACATGACTTTAAAAAGAAATCTAGTTCATGAAGTATTTTAACAGTATTGGGCACATACTAACCACCTGATAATAATGGCTGTTATTATGATTCATTAAAACAACCAGCATCAAGATGTTTCATAGTGGGGTAGAGAGGGAGAGCATGGGAGGAATAGAAAAACTCTAGATAGGGCAAAAGGGTGGCATGGGAAGGGAGGGGGCAGGGGGTTAGAACTGATGGTGGAATGTGATGGTCATCATTATCCAAAGTACATATATGAAGACACGAATGGTGTGAATATACTTGTACATAATCAGAGATATGAAAAGTTGTGCTCTATATATGTAATATGAATTGTAATACATTTTCCATTGTCATATATAACAAATAAGAATAAAAAATAAAATAAATAAATAAAAAAGAAAAGAAAGGAACTTCAAGAATAATATCATCTGCTGATTGGCTGTATTATTATTATTATTATTATTATTTGGTACTGGAGATTGAAATCAGGGGTGCTTAACCACCGTCGAGCCATTCCCTAGCCCTTTTATTGTGTTTATTTAGAGATAGGGTCTCACTGAGTTGCTTAGTGCCTCGCTCTTACCCAGGCGAGCTTTGAACTGGTGATCCTCCTGAGTCGCTGGGATTACAGGTGTGTGCCATGGTGCCCAGCTGCATTGTTCTCATTTATGAAATTATATGATTAGTAGAACCTACTGGAATCTTTTCTACTTTGGCTTGGTGTTTCTACCCAAAATAGAAAAACTTGCCTAGAAGTAATTGTAATTTTAAAAAAATTGGTGTGAGAAACACCTGCACCGCATAAAAAACAATGATGCAATTGAATTGTGGGGTATGAGGAAAGCACATTCAGACAAAATTCCATGTTTGCTATGAGATTGAAGGGGGGGGGGGAGCTTGATGGATGTACTCAACTCTGCCTTTAACAAGAGGAATGCATTGACTGTACTCATTTCAACCTAGAAAAAACAACTTCCTCTTTCTGATGCCATTTTTTTCCATATCTAATATTATCTGTTTGCCACTGGTAGTCCCCTTCACCATGATTGAAGGCCACATCGAAGCAACATATATGGCAAGGAAAACACAAAGATGAATGAGTCATGATGTGTAGCCCCTCTGAAAGGCCTTTGGACATTCCGTACTCACTGAAATATGGATAGAGTATAGGTAGCCATCTGGAAACCCAGGTTTGGCATATGTCAATGTCCATCCTTCTATACCAAGATAAAGTTAAATTTCCCCAGGAGCTAATTTCACAGGAAATAAAGGATCTATCTCTTCCCTTCCAATGACTGGTGAAAAGGTAAGATATTTTTAGAACATTACATCTCAGAAGGCTCATCAGGATACAGTATTTGGGGTAAAAAATGGAATTTGAGTCTCTGACACTTATCAGTTGAATCATGAACAAATTACTTGCACTCATTAAGCTTTAGTTTCCCATCCATATAATGGGGTGGTGGTCCTCCCTTTTTAAATAATACTGCAAATATTTCATAAGTTCATACGCACACGTATAAAACCGATGGCACAAAATTGGGTTAACGTGCTTTATAGAAGAAGTAAGTGTTCAGAGCATAAGCCAAATGGGGGCCTCCAAAATGAGAAAAAAATGGGTAAAATTATTTGATTTTTCAAAAGGAAATTATTAAAGTAGATATCCTCATTAAAAAAAAAAAGATTGCTTATGTTTTCTCACACTTTTAAAAAGTACGTTTGACACTTTGGTGCTGTCCTATTTTAAGTCACACATGTAGAAATGGCCCCAGCTTCTCAGTGCTTGGTTACTGGAAGGACAGTTGGCTTTCTCTTTTCTCTTCCTCTCTCCCTGGAGTCTCTCTTCCTGGGACCTCACCCAGGGGGCACTGAGCCATTTTATTAAATTGAATATGCACAGATATTTAAATACATTTATGCTGGTGTACTTGGGATCCAGATTTTGATTCATTGTGAATTTTCCCCTTAACATAATTCAAGGCCATACATATCTGTGTCTCTCCTATTTGTTTACTTTCTGTCTGTGGCTTTTCGGCTTATATTTTTCTATATTGCTTGATATATTTTCAAGTTCACAGACCCTGATGTCTGATGGAGTTTTCTGGCCTATTATGCAGAAAACAAACCAATATCTATTCAAAAATGTAGAAAACTAACTACAAATTCACAGGTGGTAAATATTTAAAATATAATGGAACTCACAGGTTTTCCACTTTCTGACATTTTCGTTATGGAGGCAAATTGATGTACAGCAAAGCACACCAGGTAAGTGCTCATGGGAACAGACTTCTGAAAAGTTGTTCGCATCCATTGGTCATCCACTGACTCTGTTATCTATAGAATACAAAAGATAATTTTTCATTTATCAAGAGATCAATCATGTCCAAGACAAACAAATGGTGACCCCACCCCCCCAGCTCTTCTCTCTACTCAGGAGCTTGCCAAAGCTCAGAAGTAAAAATTTTTGTGGTGATGTTGAAAAGACTAAAGGAAAATTTACATTATTTTAAGTATTGTGAAAGAGTAACTGAATTATATGCCATATTGGGTTTCTCTAGGAAAAACAGAATTTGGACTATGATGTCAATTGGATGAGAGTTTATCTTTCTACACTAAACAACAATCCTCACCATAATATTTTAGGGGGTATTTTGATCTGTTAATAAAGGATAGGCTAGTGTTTAATATTGTCAGGGAGAAAGAACTTAGTAAATGTTTGCTGACTTGAGTACATGCAGGAGGGGAATCATTCTATCAAGAATAAATGAATGGTGGCTTCTCTTCTCCACTTCTAGTTGTCTACATAGAAGACCCAAGGTATGGCCTCTAAAGTCAGTGCCTTGGTTTCCATGGACAGAGAGAAGGATTCCAGTGCTTGACATACTCCTTCTCTGTCTGGGTTTTTTTTTTTCCACACCAGCTCTGCAGTCCTCCCTGTCAATCATGAATCCTAATACTTCAACAATGAATGCTTTCTCAATTCTTGGTACCATTGTTTAAATGCTTCCACTTCCTCTTATAGCTTCTATCTAAGTGGGAAGCTTTACAAAGAGATTAAATGAGGGAGGCTGAACTAGAATTGATATATGATTGACATTACGTGTATGTGCTTATATAAAAGTGCTGGGGTTCCAGTAAGGTAGTTACTCCACGATGAAAGACTAATAGTATTAGTGTTGATCTCCTAATGACCTGAAAATTTTCCCTTTTCCAGCTCTATTGTCTGGATCTAGAAGAAGGTCAAGAAATATAACTCTGTGAAATGAAAGGTAATGTGGGGAGACTGTGAGCAGAGACTGGTAAGTTTGCTTTCCCCCTCCCATACTCTTCCCTCATTCATGCCAAGACATTCTGATGATGCTGTACCCTGAACCCATCTTCTGGGTCAATGTGTCACACTTTAACTTTATTCTTTCCTCTCTCTTCTCCAACCAAAACTTAATTTCTCATGTGCCTGATACCAAAAGAAGTCAAGTTTAGAAGCTAGTTCACATGGAGGCATGGATGGCTGACGACAGTTTACATTTTAACTCTCTAATGTTTTTGTTTTGTGTTTGTCTTTTCAAGGGATATTTTATTATCAAAAGAGAAGAATTTCAGTGATGACATTTCAGGCAGTGAATCAGAAAGATCAGAGGTATAATTTCAGCCTCAGTGTCCTTCTGGTACTAAATAAATGATAATTATACCTAAAGATGAGACCTACTCTTTGACATGTCAAAGGTATAAAGTATGTTGAACTTCAACTTTGAGGTAATGATATTCTAGTTAACTACATTACCAATTATAGAGGAAAGAGTCTTATGTTAATTAATGATTACACAGGCAGAAATTAGTGTAGCCTGTTATTTATCCAACAGTTGACAAACATTTCCTGTTCTCAAAAAAAATCTACAGGCATGGTCTTTGCTGGAGTTGGCTTCTACAACCCAGTATTTAAGTAAAGATTTTTCACAGTAGTTTTTCGGTGTTTAAAAACTGGGTTTATATTCAGCTGAAAATAAAACTACTGAGTTTTATTTTAGGCCCAGAAATATTTCTAAGCCTGTAATTCCATTAGTTTGTCATGAATTCATCATTATTAGGGGATTTTGTGAGTCGAGCAAAGTCCCAGCCAATGGATGTCTACTGTTTTCTCTCCTGCACAGAAACATGGAGGTGACTTCTTTACTGGACTATGATTACTAGAACTCAAAGCAAAAGCGAGTGTTAAAATGTATTCTGAATCTTCTAAACCTACAATGAGTGCACATTTAGTTCTAGAATTTAATGGTTTCTCTTCCATGGCAAATCAGGTATTTTAGCTGATATTATACACACAGACTATCTGCATAAACAGAACATTAAGAAATACTCACCTCCATGGGCATATTTGAAAGTGCCTGATAGTCTTTGGGGTGGATGATGGATATGGTGTAAGTCGCCTTTTTGTTGGGCTCATCAAAACATGGGAAGGATTTCCTGGCATCTGTTGGTTCATGGTCAGTGGCCGCTATGCTCCTTAGAAATAAACACATAGACAGAATACATGCTGCCTCTTTTGACAGACCCTATGCTCTTATTCCTATACAAAAAAAAATGATTATAACTATTAAATTTCTTAACACAAGGTTCCATCTAGGAAAATGATCAAATAACTGTCAAAGTCTGTCCTGGAATTTTTAGATTGGCAAATCCATGAAAATCCAGAGACAAACAATTTCCTGTATTTTATTTGAATATTTACACATTTTACAAATCTGTTCAGTGGGCCAAAATAAAATATAATTATGAATCATGACTCTCTCTATCCCAAACTCATTGAGCAACAAAGAGATAAATACAAAGCTAAACTCAAAGGCCTGTTTCTAACTGTCCTAGAGGTAGTGAGCAGCTGTATTCTGTCACAGAGCAGAGGAGTATCTTCCAGCATCTCCAGGTCCTATCCGAATGGCACATTCTGTCTTATTTATGTTATACCACAGACAGAAATCCAGTTTCATTTTCATGCAGAGGCAGTGCTGAGCAATTCCCCAGGTAAAGTAAACTTTGGCCTGATTTAAAACAAATCCACCTATGAGGGCCAGGGATGTAGCTCAGTGGTAGACAGGTGCTTAGCATGAGCAAGGCCATAAGTTCAATCCCCAGCAATTTTTTTTTTAATTTTTAAAAACCCACTTTTGAAAAGATACAGCAACATTCTCTTGTGACTCTAGGCATTTGCCTGTGTTCACTAAAATGTTAATGTTTAATATTTCTAGAATTTCAAAATGAAAATATTTTTTTGCTGAAAAATCTGCTCAAAATCAATTAAATATACATTTTATACCTGTAAACATATTAAAATAAGGCAACAGTGTTGTGTATTTGCTCATTGGAAAACTAAACAAAGTAAAAAGTATAAAAGAAAGGAAAAGTAAAGCAATGTTGATTTATATTCATTAATAATTTGTAAAAGGAAAATATTTTGTTCTTCAGGATTTTCAGAAGCTAAGGAAGGCCTATCATAAAGAGTACCAATTTAAGTTATCAATCATTCATTTGTCCCACAAATAGGTGTTGTCCCTACACACACACACACACACACACACACACACACACACAAACACATACACATACACATTATTCTAGGTGCTGAGGAAACAACAAAGACTTTATAGATAAGGTCCCTGATATCTTATGAAAAGATAGATACCCAAACAACTCAGTAATTTAGAAGAGCAATGAGAGTTAAACAGAAATAAACCAGGGGAGATGGCCGACAGTGACCCAGGAAAAGTGATGAGCAATTTCTGGTAGAATAATCAAAGGGGAGCTCTTGGAATGAATGATGATGTGCTGAGGTCTGGATAATCACAAAAAAACCAGATAGGTGAAGAATAAGGAAAATGTGTTCTAGCTCAGTGAACAGTGAGTGCCAAGTCCTTCTAGTAAAAAAAGAACCTGGTGCAGTTGAGGAACTGAGAGGTGGTCAGCTGAAACCCAGTGAACCAGGTAATTGGGGCAAAAGAAGAGTTCAGCACAGTCAGATGAGGAGAACAGGCCATGGGAACCCTCTGCATTTTTATTTTGGTTCAAGGATTTATTATATACACTAATTTACCTAAAAAGTAATATGCCATAGGTCAACATCCATCTAGGTAAAATTATAATATTTTTGAATTTTTTCCAAAAGCTATCTGGATCTAAAAAAAATTTCTTGTTAAAAACTTGGCCAAGAAAACTAATCTATACTAAAAATAAATAAAACCAGAAGACTGGCTATCTTTCGGAAGAGTGTTAACTGAAAAAAAGGGACTTTTTCAGATGATTGGACAACTTTGTTTTCATCATAGAGATATAGATAGCAAAGATGGGCATATTTGTCAAAGTTCCTTGAATCGTAATCATTAGATTTGTACATTTCAATGTATTTTATCTAAAATAAGTGTAAATAAATGTTGAACACGATGAAGTACATTTGTATTTTTGCAATGGTATGTGTTAGCAATTTGGAAAACATCCTTCTCCATTTCCTAAGCATGGCAAATGAAAAAAAAATTTTAAGATAATCTTTATGATAGGGCTTCCTTAGCTTCCTTAGCTTAGTAGATTCCTCACTGTTGGGTAAGGGAGTTATATATTTGTAAAGGGAACACTAAACTGCACTCTGTGGGGCTGAATTGTAATTACATGTTTCATTGTGATTTCAATGATTTTAAATACAAGTAAAAAAGGCAGATGATACAGAAATACAGACACATATATGTCCTTGCTTTATCTACTGAGCAAGACTGGAAACAATGACAGGCTTGAAGTAATGAGCACAATTAGTTCCCAGATGACTTTAAAATATCATTCTCTACTGAAAGAAACCAGGGCTCCTTGGAGAAATGGCTTATTCTGGTGCTGGGTCAGGAAAATTCCAAGATGATCTTGGAATATCTAACTGTGCCAAAAAGCCAGGAAATATTCAAAGAATCATGGGAACAAGTTGAAAGGACACAAGAGCCTGCTTGACGTGAGCACCACTGGACAAACTTGGGAGAATTGGAACATCAAAATAAATAAGGGAATTCATGAATCCATGAATCCTTATTCTGATTTTCAAAACAAATAAATAATTAGGGAGGAAGGAAAGCTCTTTCTTAGTTTGCAAACTCATAATTTTAGTAGGAATAAGGGTCTTACAAAATCGTCAGTGGTAAATTTCATCTCACTCCAGTCAGAATGGCAGTCATCAAGAATACAAATAATAATAAAATGCTGGTAAGGAGGCAGAGAAAAAGGAACACTTTTATACTATTTTGGGGTCATAAAAATAGTACAACCATATGGAAATCAGCATGGGAGTTCTTCAAAAGACTAGGCATGGAACCACAGTATGACACAGCTATAGTATTCCTTGGTATTTACCCTGAAGAAGTAAAGTCATCATACTATAGTGACATGTGCATGTCCATGTTTACAACAGCACAATTCATAAGACCCAAACTACAGAACCATTCTAGGTGTTCATCAATGGATGAATGAATAAAGTAAATGTACACAATGGAGTTTTATTCAGCCATAAAGAAAAATGAAATTATGTGATTATGTAATTTGTAAGAAAATGGATGGAACTTGAGACCATTATGTTAAGTAAAAGAAGCCAAACTCATAAGGTCAAAGATTATATGGTTTCTCTTATATGTGGAAACTGGAGAGGAAAAAGGAAAAAAAGAAGTGATGTTGTGGAAGGTGTTTTGAAAATCAAAGGGAGATCAGTAAAGGAAAGTGACCCCAGGGAGGGAGGGGATGCAGGGAATACTGGGGAATGATATTGGCCAAATTATATTGTCATGTTGTGTGCACGTACATATATGTAACAACAAATTCCACCATTATATACAACTATAATGCACCAGTAAAAAAAAAAAACAAAACATGGAAAGAGAAGAAAATAAAATCATCAGTGGATGTTCAAACAAGTGGGTAAAAGTTTGATGAGGGATATTTGCATAGTTTCAAAGAATCTTCAGAAAAATTCTTATCAAGGAGGAACTGTCACTTTACAACAGACTCCAGTCAGAATGGCAGTCATCACTGTTGGATTCCATCTTGAGCAAGTGATTAAAGGTAGCATCACAAATAATAGTACAATCAACAGTCTCCTGATGCAATTTCCTGAAGGAATACAGTGATATTCCTGATGTGTTTAACTCGAATTTTTAAATCCTAAGAGTCAGACGATCTAAAATTAAGTGATATTCTCCAAACAACGCCTATGCTCTTCAAAAATATTGACACTGAGAAAGATAAAGAAGGACTAAGGGACTGTCCTGATTTCCAGGAGTACAAACAGGCATGATGCTAAATGCAATGCATGAGTCAAGGCTGCATTCTGGACCAGAAAAAAAATCAATTGGAACATAACTGGGTGGAAATTTGATTATGGACCATGGATTAGATAATTGTATTGTATCAATGTTAAATTTCCTGATTTTGATAACTGTACTGTGATAATGTTAGAGGATGCCACTGTACTTAAGAAATATACAGATATTAAAAGAGAAAGGGAGAGAGCTCTCACTGTATTCTCCAAAGGGCGAGCAGGTGGACAGACAGAGAGAAAGGGAGGGAGGGAACAGAGGAGGGAAAGTGGGGAAGGAAAAAGAGGGAGATGAAAGGAGAGAGAGAGAAAAGAAAAGGGACAAGATGTAAATGATTGCTGAATCTGAGTTAAATTATTTATTCTGCAGTAGAATAATTATTGATGAGTTGTGTGGTGTTAACAGTTTGGTAAACTGAAGTTCCTAACATCTTATAGATCATATTGAGTGCAAATGCATCAGAATAAAAACTTGCACACTTTCCCAGAGTGTTAAGTTGTATACAGTGATCCACCAAGCTCCAACCCTATGATAAGTCAGTTGCTTTTTTCTTCTGAATTCTGGAATCTGATTTTTTTTTTCCAGAAGCAGAGGAAAAGGAAAAGTCACTCCCTGTAAAAATGCTTCAGCTTAATCAATAAGTGAGCTAACTAATTTGGGAAAGGGTGGGGGACTTCATGTGGCAGGGAAAGTGAGGAGGGAGTGGATCATTTTCCAAATAATAGCCATTGTGCAGGTTTCCAAATACTCTATTTTGCCCTTGGGTAGATGCTAGATAAACTCCTAAGGACCTAAGAGAGAGAAGGCTTCTCAGTCCTTTAGTGTTCTCTCTTTAAAGGAGGTTCTGCTTGATAATAGGCAAAACCTGCCTTCTGAAATCAGAGTACTCCTGAGCTTGCACATGGACCTGGGGCAGATCTGGCTTGGTTTGTCTTGGTGGTCTTCCCAGCAAATCACAACAAGTCCAACTCCTTCACAGTGACCTGGATTTACATCAGAGCAGGCAAAGTGACATTCATCAACCAGCAGGGCCACAAAATGGGTATTTTTTTTTCTTTGTTAAAGTGCAGGATCATGTGATTTTAGGGTAAAGCTCTCTTCTAAAACTAAAAATTCTTAAATTCTAATCTTACTTTGATCCCTTAAGTGTGATTCTTAAGCAAGTCACAA